CCAGGTTCGCTGGCCGTGTGACTTCTTGTTTTACATTCAAGCTTTGCTTTTTCTTCCCTCCCCTCGCTCTCATTTTCTGATTGCCTCTTCTATTTTCTTTTTATTTGTTCTCGAAGCTCCAGAATAAGGAAATGATACTGCTTAAACTTGCGTTCTTACAACTATTCCCTGTCCTGCCTTGATAAATTGGGCACGTTTAAGCTTTTACTCAGTCTTAATCCCTCCTGAAATAAAGAAATCATGTTATCATTCCTACTTTCGGCTTCTCTGTGACTCTTGATTATTTGTTTTGTTTTCCTTTCTTCTGTGAGTTAGTGGAACTTTGATTTTTAAAACTCATTATTTTGGACTGTTTTGATCACGAGATGTGTCCTGGGAATTGTTCGGTGTCTTTTTGTCTCTTTCTGAGGTTTTGGCAGATTAACCCCAAAAGAAATTCTAGTTGTTTGAGAGTTCTTACTAGTCAAGTTGCAGATAGCTTAGGATTTATCACACTTACTGCCTGTGGTTGGCTCTGTCCTGTGTTGCTGCTTTCAGGAAAAGCAAATATGAATTAGATTGTTTTTCTCTCGCACAATGCTGTGGTAGGTGATCTCGATTTAGAGGTGAATTTCTGCCTCTCATCTCCTTCCCTATCTCCCACCTAAGTTGTTCTTGTTTCTGAGAATCTGTATGGACGCTAGGCATCAAGGCATCTGCGGCAGGCCGTAGCAGCTTGTGTAGCGAGTAGTGATCCCAGCAACAGGGATGGCGCATTGGTACTTGGATGAACCTTGAAAACCATGCGGGGTGAAAGAAACCAGCCACCCGAGGCCACCTCCTGCATGATTCCGTTTACATGAAATGGCCAGAAAGGGCAAACCCACAGGGACGGAGACCAGCTTAGTGGTTGCCAGGGCTGAGGGTCAGGAGGACTGGGGAGTGCCAGTTCATGGGCACAGGGTTTCTTGCGGGATGATGTTACTATGATAAAAATGTCCTGGAGTCAGGTAGTGGTGATGGTGGCACAACTGTGCATGTGCTAAAAAAAAAAAAAAAAAACCATCAAATTGTACACTTGAAACACGGGAACTTTATGGTATGTAAATTATAGGTCAAAAAAGCTGTTAAAAAAATACTGATTCCAGGGCCCAGTCCAGCCCTACTAAACCAGAAACTCTGGGCGTAACATCCAGGAATCTGCATTTTACCCAAACACCCAACAGAACTAACTGTAGACTTTGTTCAAATATCATTGGGAATTTCAAGACAATGATGAAAGCAGAGCATTAACACAAGCCCAGGGCCCGTCCCAGGCCCATGAAGCTGGCCCCGCACCCCACAGTAGTGTCTGGGGTGCTCCCCTCAAAGGGTGGAAGGAGAATTGGTTAGCAGGTTTGCATCTCCGCCGGAGAAGCTGTAGATGGAAGGGCTGGAAGTAGGAGAGCAGAAATATGAAACTTCAAAAGATTTCCTCCCCCTGCAAGAACAATGAAGTGATTTTAGTCAGAAGAGTGAAGCAGAGTCCCCCAGCCAGCAGCTGAGTCATCTCCAGAACTGTGGGCTCTCGGTGACAAAAGGAGAAAATCTGAGGCTGCCTCCAGGTCTGCGGAAGATCCTGAGTGAGCCCAGGACTCGAGCAGCAGTAACTGACTGCAGAATCGCTGTGAGCCTGTTGATTGTGGGGACCCGTCCGGTGGGGGGACAAGACAGCCCCTGCCGCCCCACAGACTGCATCTCGCTGCATGCAGTTGCCCCTCTCCCTGCAGTGATTCACTTGCCACTGTCCCCGCTGCTTCATGTCACCACGTCTGATTGTATTGCTGCAGTCACGTGCCCACACCCCGGTGCAAGGGAGGCTGCGAAGGCCTCCTACGGCAGGAAGCAGGCTCTGCCGCGCTGCAAACACGAGTCCCCAACCATCAAAAACATAACCCTCATGCAGAGTGGGCACGGGGCAAGGTTTTGTTTGTCATTACTGAGGGAATCAGCACAGCGTGACCGATTCAAAGGAGGAGCGAGAAACTAGGGTCTGTGTCTCATCTGTCTTTCTGTCGTCAGGGAAGAAAAGGAATGCTGGAATCAAACGCTCGGTTAGATGCTCAACTGGCTAACACCCCGCAGTCAATACAACCAGAACCTTTGGAATTGTCTTCTTTACTTGATAGAAATCTTTTGCATCTCATCTATTTTCTCTAAGTTCAGAGACCTTGGGACCTAGTCGATAATATACAATATGTCAAACAATAAGTTCCATTCTCAGAGAGCAGTGCTGTGCAATAGAACTTTCTGTGGTGATGGGGGTGTTCTGTATCTGCACTGTCCAATATCGTACCCACTAGCTGCTGTGCTATTGAGCACTGGAAACGTGGCTAGGAGCCGGGTGTGGTGGCATGTGCGTGCCTGTAGTCCCAGCTACTCAGGAGGCTGAGGCAGGAGGATCCCTGGAGCCCAGGAGTTCAAGGCTGCAGTGAGCTATGATTGTGTCACAGCACTCTAGCCTGGGCAACATAGCAAGACCCCAGCTCTTAAAAAAATGTGGCTAGTGAGATAGAGGAAGTAAAAAAATTTTGTAAATGTTTTATTTTGAAATTTTATATTTTTGTTTTTATTTTGGAATGTTTTATAATTTTAGATTTATGTAGGTGGTACAGAGTTCGCACCCAGCTTCCCCTAAGTGATAACATCTTATGTAACCACGGCACATTTATCAAAACTAAGCAATTAACATTGATACAACATTGATAACTAAACTATGGGCCTAATTTGGATTTTCACCGGTTTTTCCATTAACGTCTGTTTTCTGGTCCAAGATCCGATCCCGGCACCCACACTTCGTTTAGTTCTCGCATCTCCTTAGGCTCTGATCTGTGACAGCTTCTCAGCCTTGCCTTGTTTTTCATGACCCTGACACTTTGGAAGAATGCTGGGCAGGAGATTTTGTAAAATGACCCTTGGTGTGGGCCTGGCAGGTGTTTTCTCTGGATGAGCCTGAGATGGTGGGTTTGCGGGGGAAGACCACAGAGAGGTGAGGGAGGTGCCCTCTCACCGTGTGGCATCAAGTGCGTGAGAACGATGTGGCAAGTGACGTCCGCCTTGATCGCTGGCCGGAGGTATTGTCCGCCATGGCCCTCCCCATCACCGTGAGGTTTCCCTCCTGTGCTCTGCTCTTTAGAAGTGAGTCACCAAGTCCAGCCTCCCTTCAAAGGGAGGGGAGTTAAGCTCCACCTCCTGGAGGAAGGAATATCAAAGAATTTGTGGAGGTATGTTAAACCACCATTGTGATTCATAAATTGGGGAGAGGCTTTGAGGCTATACAAATTTCCTGTTTCCCCTTAAAGTTTCACCTGCTAATTTTAGCATTCTTCTGTGGATCTTGTCTGAGGCACTTATCACTGTGGTGTTCTAATGACGATCGATGTTCTATTTCCCTCATCCCGCCTATGTTTATTATTTATTAATTAGAATTCTATAAGGAACATTTGTCCTTTCCCCCATTTATTTATCTAGTCAACCATTTATATCACGATGGATTCATGGATATTTATTTTATCCTTTGAAAGGACATGTGGTCATATTTTTGCCTTATTTCCCAGTTTGGAATAATTTTCCTGATAGTAAAGGTATTCTGATGTAGGACAGTCAAAGAGAGAGATGGACGTCCACCGCACTGGGTGTTTCTGGAAGGATCACCAAAACGTTGTCATTGGCGAGTAGGATATCTGGGGGCTGAAAAGCCTGGTGTGTGGGGGGCTGGGGTAGAAATACCTGTAAGAGTAAGAACGAGAAGTCCAAGACTGAAGTTTCAGAATCCTGACTGCATCCTCCCCTACATGTGGACTTGTGCAAACCACACCTCTTTGGTCCTCAGTTTCCCCAAAGATAAGATGAAGATAAAGGTGCCGGTCACTCAAGATCATTGGTTCTCAGGCTGGAGAGTGCATCCGATTCCCGGTGTGTACATTGCTGGCTCCACTCACAGACCGTCTGATTCGGTAGGTCTGGGGTGGAGCCCGGGGATTTGCATTTCTAAAACATTGCCAGGTGCCAGTTCAGAGACCACCGTTTGAGAACCATTAGTCCAGATGATCTCTAAGAACCCTTAACAGCTTTGGACTCAATGCTTGTTCAGATGACAAAATCTTTGGACCTGGAAAGATGGTGTCATCCCTGAGGGCCCTGAAAATCCAGTGGAGAATCGTACAGGAGTCACTGAAAATGACCCTGTGCAACGCACAGGGTGGCACTAGGTGCCTCTAAGACCCAGTCACTGCCTAGGGAGAGACGAAGGGTGGAGAGGGTGGTGAAGTGCAAGCTGGAGTCGGGGTTCCACCCCTTAGCAGCTGTGTGGCCCTGAGCAAGTGACTAAATGCCTGCCTGCCTCAGTCTCGCCACCCATAAAAAGAGAACAGCGACAGTATTTATTAATACCTGACCTGGCATAAAGAAAATGCTCAGCAAGGTTGTTGCCGGGCTCCCTATTCGTTACTGAGTGTGTCCAGTGGGGGAAATGGCAGTGGTGGAAGTAATCTTTTTCTAGAACACAACCACCTTCCCTCTGAACAACACCCAGCTTGGGTCCCCATTCGCTAATGTCAGTCCCCTCACAAAATCCAAAACAGATTATGAGAAAATAATCAACATAATTTATTAAATAAATTCCAAAGGCTCCTCCAAGTAGCATTAACAACTCTTAGTACAATAAATATCAATAAATTAACATAGCTGCCACCTCCTGCCCTCACAAGGGTATAATGAGAGTAAGTAAGGTTTAAGCCTGCAGAAGAAAAACATTCTGTAAATACCAAGACTAAGAATAATGACATAATCTTTTTCAAGTTAATTCATAAATTTCAATCTCAGCCCTCGCGGGACTGGCACATCTGAGCGTTCATTGGGATTATTCACTGGAAACATGTACTTAATAAATTACAGCAGAGTTCTCGCACTTAGCTGGCAGTCATTTTTTAAGGCTTCGTAAGTTCCTGCCACTCCAAAAGGAATAGGCCTTAACCAGCCTGTCAGGCTGCAGGGCTAGATGGTTTCGACGCAAGTTCCATGCACTCCGAAAACTGTGTTAGGATAGTCAAGATGAAGCGCTTGTGTTCAAGGGTGCCTGTAGGCGCGGAAATTTTTGTTTTTGAAGCATCTTGAAATTTGAGTTTGTCGAGATGTTCTATGATTTCACCCATAGTTGTGTTATCTCTTAACTGTTGGATGGTCTGGAGATATGTCCGAATGGCTGAGATGTTGATGTTGTTTGGTGGCTGGGCATCGGGGATGAGACACGGTAGCGTGTAACTGTGGGACATGGGCACCCCCTTTTCTTCCTTCACCTGTGGAATGAGGAGAAATGGTGAGCATTAGGTTTGCAATACAGCTAGAAATCCTAACAGCTAATGCTCGAGTGCTTCCTCTGTGACTGGCCTGGTTCATACTTTATCTAATCAGTACAACCACCCTACAAAGCTATGGCTGTCGTTAGCCCCCTTTCCAGAAGAAACCGGAGCTCAGTTGGTTTATGGAGCTGGGCCAAGGTCAAGGGACAGACCCGCCACCCAGTCCAGGTGTGGCGCAGTTCTGAAGCCCACGCTGATGACCACTGCTCCGTCTTGCTGCCTCTGCCCATCAAGCTGAGGCCTCCACAGCCTTCCGGAATCTGCTCTTATGTGCTCAGGGGCTCAGGGAGGAGGGGGGTCAGAGTGCTTCTGGGCCAACCTCTGATCTGACTGCTGCATGAGAGCATCTTTACCCTCAAGAACATGCCATCTTGGCCTGTCTAGCTGTCTCCTATCCCTGTGTATCCAGAGCCCTGGCTTCAGGTCTGGAAAGAGTAGGTGCTTCTGGGGCAACAGAAGACATTTTTAAGAAATAGCATAGAAAAGAAATCTCTAGGGCACTTACGTAGTTTTCCAAAAGTGTCTTTGACAAGAACTGTAATTCCTTGAATATTTTCCCTCTCTCCGTCGGTCCTAGAGCGGGAAACGAGTGGGAAGTCAGCCAGCTCCCCACGCAGCAGAGCAGGAACAGGGCAGACGTCGTGGGTCCTAGAGAGAGAGTGACGCTGTGAGGCACACGGACCTGACACCCCTGCCCCCCAGCTCTACTGCTGAAGCCCCCCTTCTGGAATCTTCCTCACTGGCGAGGTAAGACTATGCCCGAGATGCAGTGAGCACCGGAGCAATGCTTGTACCTGCACGAGAGACCATGGCGAGAGGGAGCGCGGCCTGCTTCCACGGCAGCTTCTGCAGCCAGATGTGTTTGCCATGGCCGCTGGGGGATATATAAAGGGCCGGGGTGGGGAAGAACAGCATTGTCCCGCCCATGGCAAAATCATTGCTTATCTTTTCTCCAGAAAACACTTTCAAAATTCTGCTAGCCAAGGCTGAATGAAAGCAGGGTTGGAAGGAAACGCTGAGGTTACCCTCAAGGTAGGCAGATGCCTGAGTCAGTGCAAAGACACTCAGACGCTGCACAGGAAGGCACACACGTCGCTGTCAGTTCTTGGAAAGAGCTTGTTGATTTGACTAGACAAAATTTTGAAGCCCAGCGTTGACAGGCACAACCACCAAGGAACAAGTGACTTACAGGAGTTGAGGGTCAGTGCCCCACAGGGAATTTCTGGGGAGGTCATGCTGAGTGCGCATGGGCGCAAAGCTGGGGTGGGATTCGCAGAACGCGGTATCTTTGGAAGCATCTGCAGCGTGGCCACGCTAGCGTGAGAACGGCCCCCATGGCCATTGAGTATGGTGAATCCAAGGCCGCATCTCCTCTGCGTTTGGCCTCCCACCTCCCTGGACTTTCACCTGTGCCTCTGCAAGCCCAGGGCCCACACTGGAATCCGTGCTCACCAGTTGTTGGTTGGAATCACTTATTTGCATTTCAGGTGCCAGCTTTGACCAGGCCCTCTTCTAGGGTCTCGGGAATGGCAGGGATCGACTTAGACAAGGTCCCTGCCCTCACGGACCTGGCGTTGTAGTGGGCCAGGGGCAGATGACAAACACCATTCATCGATACACAACAGGGTACTGGGCAATAACGGACTGTCATAATAACAAGGTGATGGGCTACAGGTGATGGAGTGACAGGTGAGGTACTTATAGTCAAGTGATCAGAGAAAACTCTCTGAAGAGGTGACATTTAAGCCGAGACCTGAAAGATAAGAAGCAGCTGGCCTTGGGCAGATCTGGGGAAAGAATGTTGCGAGCAGAGGGCACGAGTGCGAAAGTGCTCCGTCTAAGTTTGATTGTTGTTCTTGGTAGCTGGAGTGAAGTGAGGCCGTGACAAAGAACTTGGGCTTTATTCCACATGTGATGAGGCACCACTGATGGCTTCAGGTAGGCAAATATAGGATCTGGTGCACTGTTTTTTGGGTTTTTTTCTTTTGAGACAAGTCTCTGTCACCCAGGCTGGAATGCAGTGGCATTATCATAGCTCACTGCAGCCTCGAGCTGCTAGGCTTAAGCGATTCTCCTACTTCAGTCTCTTAAGTAGCTAGGACTACAGGCATGCACCACCACGCCTGGCTCATTTTTTCTTTTATTTTTTGTAGAGATGGGGTCTCGCTGTGTTGCCCAGGCTGCTCTCGAACTCCTGGGCTCACACGATCCTCCCACCTTGGTCTCCCAAGTAGTGGGGGCTATAGGTGTGTGTCACCATGTCCAGCTCTGAATCCCAGGGTTTTGATGAAGCAATTGGGTGGTCGATGTTCCGTGAGGAAAAAGACTGGAGAGGGATAGTCATGAGTCCCGTTTGGAACAAGGTAAGTTCGAGACGCCTTCCACCCCAACAACTTCATCGCTGTCCTCTGGCAAAGTCCATGGCAGGCATGATTTTCCCCCGCTGGTGTTGACTCCCCTAATTATGTTACATTACATGGCAGAAGGGACTTTGTAGATGTCATCAGGGTTACTAATCAGTTGGCTTTAGAATAGATTTTCCTAGTTTACCTGGGTGGGCCCAACGTAATCACAGAGCCCTCAAAGACAGAAGAGGAAGGCAGAGAGCTTCCACGTGTGAAGGAAGGTTCACCTGGTGTTGCTGGCTTGAAGGTGAAGGGGGCCTCTTGGAAGCCACGAGAGGAAAATGAATTTGGCAATAACCAGTGAGCTTGGGAGAAAACCCTGAGCCCTAGATGAGAGCCCTGTTCCCTGCCAATCCCTTTATTTTAGCCCAGTGGGATCCCGAGCAAAGAACTACACACAGCATGCTGGACTTCTGACCTGCAGACACTGGCACAGGAAATTTGTGGTATTAAACTGCTCAGCGTGTGGCACTTGTCACAGCAGCAATAGGGCACTGATACAGTCCCCGGTGGCCTCACCTTGCCAACCTTACTGGGTTCTCCTCAGCCTTCATCTCACCTCGCCCTTCCATGGCAGGCGATGATGCCGATCACTTCCACCCTCTCGACGACCTCTTTTTCTTCTCCTTCCATCGCAGTGTTATCCTGACCCGGTTTGCCCCTGACAGTCCTTCTCAGTGTCTGCGCTGAATCACCTGCGGCTCCGCCCTTTATGCAGACATATCTCTGCTGTCTCCTCCCTTGATCTATGTCCTCACACTCTGACGCCTCTCTCCTTCCAACGCTAGATCTAAATGTCCTCCCAGATGTCCCACCTGTGCCTGCGATTCAACATGCCCAAAGGGGGCTCTGAGCCAGGGTGATGGTGACAGTGGAGGTGGCGCTCGACTGGATGTGGGGTGGCGGAACAGTGGAGTTGAGGACGACTCCTGGGTTTCCGGTTCAGGAAACTGGGTGGATGCTGCTGCCACAGACCGGGAGGCGCCACAGGGCTGAAAGCCTTCAGGGCTCGAGCGAGGCGATGAAGTCAGTTTCGGACACGGTGAGGCAGAGGTGTCATGGAACACACAGGGGAAGATATTCAACAGGACACTGGACATTGAGGTTTGGAGTCTGAAGGAACTCGAGATGTAAATTTGGGTGCCTGCAACATATTGTGGTGGATAAAACCGTAAGCCTGGAACAGATGAACAGTGGGAGACGTGGGAGTCAAGCGTGGAGCCCTGGGATGTGTCTCTTTCAAGGAGGTGATTTAGTTTAGAGTGCTGAGAAGGTCACTCTCAAGAGAAAAAGGAAAGTACCAAGAAAACAGGTTGTCATGGAACGAGATGAAAGTGGTTTTTCAAGACAGAGGAAATGGTTGGCATCATCGTACGTAAGGCACCAAGAGGTCAAACAAGATAAAGCCTCAAGAGATTCACTAGATTGGGCAACGTGAGGTCACAGGAACTTTGCTAGGGGAGTTTGAATAAATTTTTTGAATGGAAGCCATGTGGTGGTTTAGGAAGTGAGGACAAAGTGAGCGTAGACCACTCTGCAGAGAAGCTTGGATGAGAAAGAAGAGGGAAGAGACAGCAGTGGTTTGAGGGGAACTTGGGGTTTCCTGGCTGTGTTGCTTCTGTTGTGCATTTTGGGTTCTATGGACTGCCCAGACCTAACCTCATCCCTGAGCTCTCGACTCCTCCCCAACAGGCAATGTGACATGGAATAGAGGCCCCTGAACTTACCTCTTTCCAAACAGGACTTGTGATGTCCCTGCTCTAGTTCTCCCTTCACTACACACCCTCCCCCTAGTTGCTCCATCAAAATCCCAGGAGCCATCCGTGATTCATCTCCTTGATTTATTTCTATCACTATGGACTCATGGACCTTTATTTTATTCTTTGAAAGGACATATGGTCATCTTTTTGCCTTATCTCCCAGTTTCAGATAATTTTTCTAACAGTAAGAAGAATGGTAGATGGTGCTATGGTTTGCCTGAAGGTGTCCTTCCATAATTCATATGCTGGAACCTAGTACCCAGCGTGGTGGTATGAAGAGGTGAGGCCTTTTGGGAAGTGATGGAGTCACGAGGGCCCCTCATGAATGGGATTTATGTCCTTGTAGAAGAGGCTTCAGAGAGCTGCCTGGCCCTGCCGTCCCTTTTGCCATGTGAGAACACAGCAAGAAAGTGCCATTTTGGAAGCAGAGAGCAGCTCTCACCAGACATTCCTAGGCTCAAATCCACCAGCACCTGGATCTTGGACTTCCCAGCCTCCAGAACTGTGAGAAAATGAATTTCTGGTCTTTATAAAGCACCCAGTCTAAGACATTTTGTTACAGCAGCAGGAACAGATGAAGACAGATGCTCACCACCATGGGTGTTTTTGGAAGGATCTCAATCAATAAATTGGACTTCCTCAAAAGTAAAATTTTTTGCTTTTCTAAAGACAGCTACGAGGATGAAAAGACAAGCCTAGACTGGGAGAAAAATATTTGCAAATCACACATGTAACAAAAGACTTGTGAACAGAATATATAAAGAACACTTAGAACTCAATTTTACAGATTGGGAATAGTTTCTAAGAAATGACACAAAAAGCCTAAGGAACCAAAGAAAAAAATTATTTCATCAAAATTAAATACTTTTGTATGTCAAAGGATACTATCAAAAGAGTGAGGCCGGGCGCGGTGGCTCACGCCTGTAATCCTAGCACTCTGGGAAGCCGAGGCGGGCAGATTGTTTGAGCTCAGGAGTTCGAGACCAGCCTGAGCAAGAGCAAGACCCCGTCTCTACTAAAAATAGAAAGAAATTATCTGGATGACTAAAAATATATAGAAAAAATTAGCCGGGCATGGTGGCGCATGCCTGTAGTCCCAGCTACTCGGGGAGGCTGAGGCAGGAGGATCGCTTGAGCCCAGGAGTTTGAGGTTGCTGTGAGCTAGGCTGACGCCACGGCACTCACTGTAGCCCGGGCAACAGAGTGAGACTCTGTCTCAAAAAAAAAAAAAAGAAAGTGAAAAGACAACCGACAGAATGGGAGAAAATTTTGCAAATCATCTATAAGATAAGGGGCTATTATCCAGAGCATATAAAAAAAACTCTTACAAATCAACAATAAAAAGACAAGTAACCCAATTAAAAAATGGGCAAAGGATTTAAATAGACATTTCTCCAAAGAAGATATACCAATGGCCATAATAAGTGCATGAAAAGACGCTCAATATCATTAGTCAGGTATTAGTGAAATGCAAATAACAACCACAATGAGATGCCATTTCGCACCTACTAAGATGGCTATAATAATAATTTTGAAAAGTAAAATAACAGGTCTTGGTGAGAATATAAAAAAAGCTGGGACTCTCATATATAACTAGTGGGAAAGCAGATGGTGCAACTGCTGTGGAAAACAATTTGTTCCTTTTTGAGACAGGGTCTCGCTTTGTTGCCCAGGCTGCAGTACAGTGGCATAATCATAGCTCACTGCAGCCTCAAATTCCTAGGCTCAAGCAGTCCTTCTGCCTCAGCCTCCCTAGTAGCTGGGGCTAAAGGCGTGCACTGCCACATCCAGCTAATTTTTTAATTTATTGTAGAAACAAGGTCTCTCTATGTTGCCCAGGCTGGTCTCTCAACTCCCGGCCTCAAGTAATCCTCTTGCCTTGGCCTCCCAAAGTGCTGGGATTACAGGCATGAAACACTGTGCTTGGCCCTGTCCCTCAAAATGTTAAACACTGACTTGCCATATGACCCAGCAATTCCATTCCTAGGTATTTACCCAAAAGAAATGAAAGTATGTTCACAGAAAAACTTCTACACAAATGTTCATAGCAGCCTTATTCATAGTAGCCAAAAAGTGGAAACAACCCAAATGTTCATCTACTGATGAATGGATAAACAAAACGTGGTCTATACGATGGAATATTAATCAGCCACAAAAAGGAATGAAGGACTGACACATGCTACAACATGGATGAACCTTGAAAACGTTGTAAGTGAATGAATCCAGACACAGAAGGACAAATGCTTACTGTATGATTCCGCTTACACGAAAAAGACGAATCAGTAGAGACAGAAAGCATATTAATGGTTGCCAGAGGCTGGGCAGATGGGGGAATGGAGATTGACTTGCTTAATGGGTACAGGGTTTCCTTGTGGGGTGAGAAAAACGTTGAAAATTAGATTACAGTGATGGTTGCACTGTGAATATATTCAAGCATACAGAATTGTACACTTTCCATGGGCGAATTTTATGGTATGTAAATTACATCTCAACAAAGATGTTGCTTTTCCCAGTTACAGGAACTGAATCATCTTATCCTATTAATTTCACAAAGCACTGCCCAGGAGCCCCCACTGTGCTGCCATGCTCTGAGGGATGGGGAGGTGAGTAAGGCTGACCGGTCTGAAATGAGGTCTTGGAGCTAAAACGGCTACACAGGTAGACAGCAATACACTCCTGACTCCAGGGTTAGGGAGATGGACACTGCAATCCCCTGGTTGGAGTCTTAAGATGTTTGACCTTGGGCTCATTTCTCCTTTCTAGGTCTGTCAACTGGGTATAATAATCAGCACTTTCCGCAGGGAGTTCCTGGGAGGAGAAATGGGAACAGGTGGGGTGGGGAACCTGGGGTCTTGGGGCCATCAAAACCTGCTGGGAGGTGCAGCGCTTAAAGCCAGGGTCTGGTGGGATCAGTGTATTATTATTCCATTTCTGCAGACGAGGTCAGAAGAGAAAACCCTGGTGGTCTGGGGCTGAGCCGGGGTCTGTCATTCCCGGCCTGGGAGGCCTTTTCCTCCAGGGAAACCCGGCGCTCCTCGGGAAGCCCGGATTCAGGGAGTGCCCAGGTGGCCGAGCGCCCCGCGGGTTCGAGAACGCGTCCTGGCGGTTGCTTGGCAACGCGGAGGCAGACATGGAGGCGCACCCGGCCAGCCCGCCCGGGCGCGGGACCGTGAGCGCGGCGGTGCGCGAGCACCTGCGGAAGCTGTGTCTGCGCGAGTTCCCGTGCGGCACCGGCAGCTGGGTGCGGGCCAGAGGGACGCTGGGGGCCAGGCCTGGGCCCGCGCTGGGCCGAGCGAGCTGGAGGGGCGGGCAGGACGGGCTGAGGGAAGGAGCTGCGTGGGCCTGAGGGGACTGGCCCGGGGCGGCGGGGGCTCAGACCCAGGGGCTGAGAGGAAGTTTGCATCTGGGCACCTCTGCAGCGGCGACTTGGGGGGTTCTCAGCTTGGCGCGATTTTGCCTCTCGTGGGAACTTAGGTGCCATCTGGGGACATTTTCGATTGTCACACTAGTGGGGGAGCTGCTAGTGGCATCTACTGAGTAGAGGCCAAGGATGCTGCTAACTGCCCTACAGTGCACGGGACAGTCCCCACAACAAAGGACGATCAGGCCCAAAGGGCAACCGAGAATGACCTGTTCGATCTTAAGAGTTTCGGATCCTTCAGAGGGCTGTGTCACACCTGGAGAAATTCTCCATCTCTACCCCTGCAGAACAAGTCACGCTTTCTTCCCCAAACTGGGCGAACATGGAGGGAGCTGGTCCCCAGAGAGGAGGACAAGGTGAGCCCCGGGGAGGAGACCGTGGAGGCCCTGCTGGGCCTGGTCCGCAGCCCCCACTCCCCCTGGGCGCTGCTGAAGGACTCGAGTGAGGAAGACTGTTTTCTGCGAGAACTGGCCATCCAGAACCCACTGATGCTCAGGGACACGTTCTTCTACTCCTACTTCCGGTCCCTGCGGGTGGTGGACAAGGAGGTGGGTGCGAGTGAGCCCGGCTTGTGGGGTTGATGTTCGGGTGGCCGCTGCCCTGAGGGAGGATGCAGGTGGGCTCCCTTCTCTGTGGCGCCTCTGGGGACCTGCGTTGGGGGCTGATACCAAGGCCAGCCTGTCCTCTAATTAATGTCGTCAGCTTGTCCACCCCACAGGGCCAGCTGCTGGTCGTTCTTTGCCATGTATCTTCCTTCGCCCATGGAGGGAGTCCACCGTGCATCTTGCACAGCTCGTTTTTGGCGGACCTGCAGTTAATCTCCTGGTCCTAGCAGAGGCCTTGTGTAGGGTCCATATTGATTTCACTTCGTCTGAACTGTGAGGGCCCGGGGTCGGGGGCAGGGCTGGCAAACTGCTGACTGTATTCATTTCTGTGACTAAAAAGCTGCCTTTGCCTAGACCAGTAACAGAGCCCAACATCGCGTAGAAACTTAGTCTCAGACTTCCCGAGCCTTTGCTTTGCTTTCTTTTTCCAGAGAAACTGGGAAATTATATGGTAGTAGCGAATGAGTGGGGTAACTGACTCCTACCAGTTTGCCTCGGACTTTCTCAGTTTTAGCACTGAAGGTTTTATGTCCCAGGAATCCCCTCCATCCAGGGCCATCTGGCACAGTTGGTCACCGAGAGAATAGAGGCCCAGCTAGGAAGGGCCCCTGTGTCTTGGGGGCCACAGAGAACTGAGGATTCATGAGCGGGTCACTAAAGCTTCTGGTCTGACTATGCTCTGTGTAAACCAGGGTGATTCCTGAAGACTGTAGCTGACTTCAGTGCCAGCCAGTTGGTTGGTCCCGGAGTTCACTGTGGCTCTGGGGTAGACAGCAAAGAGGACTGCCTTCCCAAGAAGGATATGGTCCAACACGGGGCACAGGAACTGACCTGGAAATTATACACCACCTACAGGCAGTGGAGGGGCGAGGGTTGGACGAGGCCCTTGAACCCTGGTGGAACGATGCGGAACGGTTTACAGGGGAGAGAGCCCTGGGAGGTGACCCTCCAAGTGGACGAGCTGTGGTTTTCCTAACCTAGACTTGCCTTCTGCTCCAGTGCTGCCTTGCCCGGCAGAGCCTTTAGCTTCCTAACCTTCCCTGCCAGGTGAGCCATGTGGATAAAGACCTCTTGAAGTTTCGAAAGCTGGAGGAGTTGGTTCTGAGCGCCAATCAAATCAAGGAGGTTGATGCCGCCAACCTGCCCACAACACTCAAGGTGAAGGAGCCCTGGGTCCACTTAGGATCTTTGAGCCAGGGCTGCCCCTCACCACCTACCGGGTTTGGCCAGGGCAGCTGTGTGCTAAGGGCCAGCTCCAGGCTTTTAAAATATAGGCCACGTTCCTCAAAAAGTTAAACATAAAATCACCGTTTGACCCAGCAATTCCATTCCTCGTTCTATACCCAAAAGAATCGAAGACAGGGACTCAGACAGATCCTTGCACAACGATGTCCACAGCCAAAGGTGCAAACGACCCAAGTGTCTGTGAATAGATGAACAAGCAAAAGCAACATAGTATATCCCTACAATAAGGTATTATTCACTGATAAAAGGAACGAAGTACCAATGCATGCTGTAACATGGGTGGACCTAGAAAACATGCTAAGTGAAAGAAGCCAGACACAAAAGGACAAATACCATATGACTCTACTCACATGAAAGTTCTAGAAGAGGCAAATCCATAGAGACAAAGTAATTAGAGTTTACCAGGGGTGGCGAGGGGGCAATGGGGAGTTACTGCTTAATGATTGTAGTTTCTGTGTGGGGTGACGAAAAATTCCGGAAATAGTGATGATGGCGGCATGGGATTATGAATATAATTAATGCCATGGAATTGTACACCTAAAAATGGTTAAAATGGCAAATGTTCTATTATATATATTTTATCCCAATAGAGATAGATTAAGAAGGGTAGGCCAGGTTTTATCATGAGTCTTCAGCTGGGCATATCAAAATGGTCTTAATTTTAAATTAGAGGCTGAGAATGGTTCACTTAGTGGCAGAAGGGACTCCTGAGTGTGGCTGTGTGCCACGGCCCAAGAAAAACCCAGGTAAGGCCTTGGGTGAGTGCTATGAGCAAGGAATAGGATTCTCGGTTATCTCCGGGTTTATTCCTTATTCCATCCAGAGTCCCTTTGGCTTTCGAGAGACATATTCCCATGAGTTGAGAAGGTGCCAAAGTGTCGTGCATCTCCCCTCCCACCCACTTCAACATCACCCCCTTTCCAAAACCTGAAGGTTCTTTCACAAAAGGAAAGGAAACTTCCTAAGACCTGCAAGAATATTTTCTTCCTGGATTTTTTTTTTTTTTTTTGAGACAGAGTCTCACTGTGTTACCTGGGCTAGAGTGCTGTGGCGTCATCCTAGCTCACAGCAACCTCACACTCCTGGGCTCAAGCGATCCTCCTGCCTCAGCTTCCCAAGTAGCTGGGACTACAGGCATGCGCCATCATGCCCAGCTAATTTTTTCTGTGTATTTTTAGTTGTCCAATTAATTTCTTTCTATTTTTAGTAGAGACGGGGTCTCGCTCTTGCTCAGGCTGGTTTTGAACTCCTGAGCTCAAACAATCCGCCCGCCTCGGCCTCCCAGAGTGCTAGGATTACAGACGTGAGCCACTGCGCCCGGCCTTCCTTCCTGGATTTTTAAAAGGGAGTCCAGATGGGCCCAGGGAGGCAGGGCATGAATAACTTGTGATTCTGCTTCTAAGTTTCCCAGGGCAGAAGGAAGGGGCCTAATCGTCAGCGCTGACTTAGCACCTCACTGTCTCGGGCCTTCCATGTCGCCTCCCAGGTGCTGGAGCTCTACGGCAACGAGATCAGCAGCATGGAGTGTCTGTGCGCTCACCCACCCCCACGCCTGCAGCACTTGGGCTTGGGCCACAACAAACTCCAAGGCCCTTTGGAAAGTCTGTACCTCACCTCCAATCACTGGTAACTCAGGAACCCAGAGGGGGAGAGGGAGGGAGGGATTCAGTGTTAGGTTTGGGCTTGGAGGACTCAGCTTGGAGGACTCCCCGTTGGCTCCCAGCTCCCGACCAGGGGTTTATTTCTCTGACCCTTCCCACTGAAGCCCTGGGAGGATCCTAAGAGGTAGTGGGAGTGAGTCTGACTCCTTGCTTTGGTGCCATACTTTAGGGCAGGGTCTCTCAACATGGGCTCTGTTGCCCTTTGGGCCTGATCGTCCTTTGTCATGGGGACTGTGCTGTGCATGGTAGGATGTTAGCAGTGTCCCTGGCCTCTGCCCAGTAGACGCCAGTAGCAGCTCTCCACTAGTAGTGACAATCAGAAATGTCTCCGGATGGTACCTAAGGTCCCATGAGAGCCAATGTCACCCCAAGCCGAGAACCACTGCCCTGGAGATAGAACCCTCGTTACTCGGGATGCACTGTTGTCACTGAAGAGCCAGTGTCTGTCTGAAGTTGTGCAGAACAGTCACCTCATGGTTATTGATGTCTGACGTTGTCCCCTTGGTGGGCAAGCTCTGAGAAGTGTGAGGGGGTCAGAGGCCACCCACGAAAGGCCATCACGGGAAGCTGGGCCGGGAAGGCTTCGCAAAGCAAAGGTTGCTGTGAAAAGTCCCGGGCAGCAGCTCTGCGGGGCAGTGCTGTGTCTCCTTCCTCACAGCTGGGGACTGCAGACAGGGCAGGTGGAGCCTGCCTTGCTCCCCCCTAGGGGGCCTGTGGCACACCCTTGGGGGGCCCAACCGTACCTGCTCCTGCAGGGGGAAGACCTGGTAGGGCGGGAAGGCCCCTCTCTGTCCATGGTTTCCTTCTGCCCCCTTCTCTTCTGCTCTCAGGACGAGAGGTGAGGGGCCTGTGTTCAACCAGTGGGAAACCGAGTGGCCAGTTGTGAACGACTGTGCTGACAGGTGCCCCTCGAGTTTCTCCTGCGTTTGTCCTCATGGCTGGCATCAGTTTGCTTTCTAGTACATGGCAGCCAGAAAGCCCACCCCGCCGCAGGCCTTGGCCGCCTGTCCTCTAGGCTGCCCTTCCCAGCCCCCTTCACCAGGCACGGATGCAGTGTCCTGGGTCATGTGCTGCTCCGGCTGTGACCAGCGTGGTCCAGCTTCCAGACGGCTTGTCCCTGCTGTTGCAGGGACCCCCCTTCACAACGTCCCCACATTGCCCCCACTCCTCCCCCGGCCTTGCTGTCTGGGGTCTCAGTGTTTGCGGAGAACCTCCCAGGTGCACACGGTGTGAAGTCGGGCAGAGGCAGGTTGCGACGGCCGTCCTGTGGCTCAGACTGTGAGGGTGGTGGCCTTACCGGACGGTGGAGACGCAGAGCCAGGAGGTCATTCCCAGTCCAGGGCTGACTTGGGTCCTGGGAGGAACGAGGCAGGCCGGGGGTGGGCAGAGTCCTCAGCCTCCTGGTGTCGTCCTGGGCACAGGGCTGCCGCCCCTCACCCACCTGGCTTCCTGACCCTGCACGGTCCTGTTCACCCTCCAGGCCCAACCTCGTCTCTCTGGACCTGGGCTTCAACGACCTGACAGACCTGCAGGGCGTGATGGTCAACCTCAGGACCCTCAGGCAGCTGCGGCTGCTGGTGCTGCAGGGGAACCCGCTGGCGCTGGTGCCCTACTACCGCGGCTTCACCATTGACAGCCTGTCCTGGCTCTGCGTGCTGGATGACATCACCGTGTCCCCCCACGAGAAGCATCAGTTCCTGGGGCTCAGCCTCAGTGGAGGTGAGGGTGCTAGCGTGTAGGGAGGAGGTGGCATGGGATGTCCCAGCCTCTGCCTGGCCATCCCCCACCCTTCTGGGTCCATGTGGCCCTCTGTCCCCGCAGCTCCCCGTTTGACCCAGACCCTGGTCAGGTCCAGCATCTCCTCTGGGTCAGAGTTTCCCCCAGGTTTTTTTTTTTTTTTGAGACAGAGTCTCACTGTGTTGCCCGGGCTAGAGTGCCGTGGCGTCATCCTAGCTCACAGCAACCTCAAACTCCTGGGCTCAAGCGATCCTCCTGCCTCAGCCTCCCGAGTAGCTGGGACTACAGGCATGCGCCACCATGCCCGGCTAATTTTTTCTATATATTTTTAGTTGTCCGATGAATTTCTTTCTATTTTAATAGAGACAGAGTCTCGCTCTTGCTCAGGCTGGTTTCGAACTCCTGAGCTCAAACAATCCGCCCGCCTGGGCCTCCCAGAGAGCTAGGATTACAGATGTGAGCCACCGCGCCCGGCCTCCCCCAGGTTTTGATCCCTGTGATTGGGATTTGGAGACAGAAGAGGTCAGGAGGCCGGGACAGTTTTTTCAAGCCATTTCTTCACTTCCGTGGTGGCTTAAGATCACCCCCTTGTGGCCCATGCCACAAGGTGCGTTGGAGCCCTCAAGGTCAGCGAGATAAAATGTTGACAACAGCTACATCTGCTGTGTGCTGGGCACATGCTAAGATGACGTAGATTTTTGATCTCCAACCCTCTCTGTAACCATCTCTGCAGAGCAGCTGTTAGCACTCCCATTGTGCAGACTGGGAAAGCCAGGCTTCAGTGGGATGGAATGACCTACCCCAAATCACTCCTGTTGAACTTGGCAGAGCTGGGTTTTGTCCCCAAGTCGGCCAAGCTCTAAGGCTCAGCCTCTCATAGAGGAGAGGGCTGGGGACCACTGTCTGCCTGCCGCCTTCCGCTCCCGCGGGTTCCTCAGTCCTGCCCATTCCTCCTTGCAGATTTCTTGACACGTGAGGCGCAGCTTGTGGTGACCATTGGAAATGTCACAGGGGTTCTGGACACCTCCGTCTTCGACCCGGAACCAGGGCCCGAAGGCCCTTTCATCACCTACAACTATTACGTGACCTACGATTTTATGGAAGAGAAGGAAGGCCAAGGGGTCGAGTACGAGGGTGTGCTGGCCAAGGTGCGCCCGGGCTGTTCCTGGAACACGGGTGGCTCCGTGCGTGGGTCTGCTAGGTCCCTGTGCAAGCAGAACTGCTTCCTGGGGCTCGTGGAGCTCTCTCATTGTGCCTCTGCTCTGAGCAGGGGCCTGGCTTCCGCTCAGCCCCTTTCTTGCAGCTAGAGGGATTCTCGACGGCACACACACCCTCTGTCCCCTTGAAAGCCTGGCCTTACAAGGGGGCAGCCCAGAATTTCATAATGGGGCCCCTCACTTCCAGCCCCATTCTGCAATGTCTGCAGCATCTCCCATCTCCCTCCACATCAGAAGAAAACCCAGGGACACCATCTGACCGGGACCAACGTGATGATCCCTGTCTCTTGCGCTGACGTAGAAGTTGTTACTGCTCTTCACTCATAATGTAGAACTTGCAGGAAAAACATGACCAGCTTTGTTTTTTAAACTTCCTGCCTCCTAAGTTGGTGTGTCTGCTAATGCTTTAGGCTCTTCCAGACATTGATGGCTGTGGAAACAAACATTCCCAGGGCATCAGAGCGTCTGAAGACGGCCGCCCGGGACGTGTTTCTGTGTCTTCCCCGCAGATCGTCAAGCCTTCTCCCAGCCCGGAATTATTTGTCGAGGACTTTGCTGAAGAGTTTGTGGAAGAGGCCGAAGAAGAGTCTCCAGAGTCTGGGATGGCCGACTCGGGAGAGTCGGAGTCGACCCTCGTCTCCGCTGAGTCGGCTGCCGTGCCCAGGTCGATAGACTCCGCGCAAGAGTTGGCCAAGTTGCGGCCTTGTGTGGATCCCCGGCTCTTCCCGTCCCCAGGGTAAGGATGGGAACCTGACCAGGAGCAAGTGGTAGGTAGGGTCACTAGGTTGCCAGCACACCTGGACCGCACTGCTGCCTGCCCCTTCTGTCCTGATGGCCGAGCCACTCCCCGGAGCCCACTCAGGCCCTGGGCTGTGCGCTGCGTGGGTGCACTGGGTGGGGGTGGTCCAATCTCCTGGAGTCCGGACTCCCACCAAAGTGCAGCTGAACTCCATCTGCCTGAACAGCCGAGGGTTTCTGAACAGTTGAATGTCTTGAGTCAATCGAGATGGTAAATAGACACCCTTTTCATCTCAGCCCTTCGGGTTGAAAACCTTTTGGTTTAACTTTTTTTTTTTTTTTTGAGACAGAGTCTCACTGTGTTGCCTGGGCTAGAGTGCCGTGGAATCATCCTAGCTCACAACAACCTCAAACTCCTGGGCTCAAGGGATCCTGCTGCCTCAGCCTCCCGAGTAGCTGGGACTACAGGCACGCACCACCATGCCTGGCTAATTTTTTCTATTTTTAGTTGTTTGGCCAATTTCTTTCTATTTTTAGTAGAGACGGGGTCTCACTCTTGCTCAGGCCGGTCTCGAACTCCTGAGCTCAAACGATCCTCCTGCCTTGGCCTCCCAGAGTGCTAGGATTACAGGCGTGAGCCACCGCGCCCGGCCGATGATGAAGAATTTTACAGGAACTTAGAGTCAGTTTTTGTAGAGTATTGAGGCTCTAGTCACTGATTTTGTACTAATCTCAAAATATTGAGCTTTGTTTTGGTTTATTTTATTTTACTTTATTTTTTCCCCTACGGCCTGTATATTAATAATTGCAGAATACTTTATTTAATTATTTATTTTTTTGCAAATTTCCAGCTGTCAGCTTGTGTGGTTATTTGAGTCTTCTCATTACCAGAGGACAGAAGGCACAATTTGGATATTTAAAGATGCTAATGTGGCTGGATTCCAGCTCATTGGACCTCACGCAGGTTTTGCTGCTAAAAATTACTTTAAAACCTCAGCTGAAAGTAAATGCTACAGGCTTGTGGAGAGTGTGGGGAGCTGGTCTCCCCCACATCTCAGCGCTGATGTTTCCCACTGGTAATGGGACATGGGCAGCCACTATCCCTGATGCGGTGGGTAGGACAGTAATGGAAGCAGCCGATTTTGTGCGAGAGTGCTTGGTGAACCACGGTGAAGGACTTATTTTTTTTTTTAATTTTTGGAAAAATTAACAAAAAAATAAGAGCCACAAATAATTCTGCCACTTTAAACATTAGGTAAATTGGCAAATAAAAGTTTCCTTCCCTCCATCCATCTACCTCATCTCATAGAATTAATTACTCTTAACAGTTTTGTGTATATAATTCCCTGATTCTTCTTTAACAGACATAGATATAGAATATATATTTATATAATTTATTTTTTATAATAAAATGGACTGGTTCTATGTAGTGATTTGAAATTTGCTGATTCTGCATGTGGCACAGACATATATATATACACCTGTTCTTTTTTAAATAATTGAAGTGTAACGTGTGGAGAAGTATATATATCTTAGAGCTCAGTGGCGAGGACTCTGACGTAGCACCATCCCGACAAGAAGTAGAACATTAACAGCCCCTCCAAAGCCCCCCGATGCTCCGTCCCAGTCCCAGCCCCTTCTCTCCTCCCCAAGCTCACCGTCATCTCTCCTGACTTCTAACACCATTAACTAGTTTTGCCTGTCTTAGAACTTTATATAGATAAAAAACCATGTAGTGCTTTTTTGTGTCCAGTTTCTTTTGCTCAAAATTTTGTTCATGAGATTCACCCATGTTGTGTGTGGCCTTTGGACATTCCGTTTCCTTCCTGTGCAGTACTCCATTGTGCGAATATACTGCATTTTATGTCCATTTTGTTATCATTGGACTTCGGGGTTGTTTCCAGGTTTGGGCGATAATTAGTAAACCTGCTGTTCATAGGAACATTCTTCTTTTTCTTTGAAGTATAATTGTGGTAAAATATATATATATGCATATGTTCAGCTTTAGGAGATATTGCCAAACATTTTCCCAAAGCAGTTGTACCAGTTTACTCTCTGACAGAAAGTATATGAGAATTCCAGTTGCATCACATTCTTGCGAACTCTTGTTAGTCTTTTAACGTTAGCTGTTTTGTTGAGTGTTTTGTCAGGGTCTCCAAGACCACCCCCAGGTTCAGTAATTCACTAGGACTCTCAGGACTCAGCCTGTAGTCACACTCACAGCTATGATTTATTACCTTGAAAGCACACAAAGCAAGAGCAGCAAGGAAAAAGTACATGGGACAAGTCCAGAGGAAACCAGGCACGAGCTTCCAAGAGTCCTCTCTCTGTGGAGTCACACAGCGTGCACTTAATTCCCCCCGCAAATTGAGACGACACCCGTACAGTGTCTACCAGGACAGTTCACCTGCGTCTAGGAGTCGGGGGTTTTTACTGGGGGCTGGTCATATAGGCACCTACCAAAATCCCAGCCTCTTGGAAGGAAAGCCGGCGTACAGCATAAAACATGTTGTTTGTATAAACAATCTAGAAGCGATGAACCGCGCTTACCAGTTAGAGAATGATGGGACCCCCCGCCCCAAATCTTTCAAGATTCTGACGGTGTGGAAGATCCTTACCACACTTCCCAAACGCCAGCCAGAGACCACCTTGCAAGCAGTCTTTCTAAGGAGAGCAACCTCCCACCTGCTCCGTGAACTCGTCTCTGTAGGTACATGTTAGTACCTCAGGGTGGTTTTAATGTGCTCTTCTGTGATTACGAATGCCGTTGGACGCTTCTTCGTATGTTTATCAGCTATTAGGATTTCATCTTTTGTGGAGTTCCTCCTTGACTTTCTTACCCATCTTTTTTATTGGATCGTCCATTTTTTTCTTATTGATTTGTAGGATTTCCTTATATATTCTGGATTTAAGCCTTTCTTGGTGTTAACCATGGCAGGTAACTTCCCCATTCTCTGGCTTGCTTTTTCACTCTCTCAACGGTGTCTTTGGGTGAACAGACATTTTCAGTATTAATGTTCCTATTTAAGAAACCTTTGGCCAGGCGCGTGGCTCCCACCTGTAATCCCAGCGCTTCGGAAGGCCCAGGAGGGCACACAGATGTGGGAGGAAACAGCAGGAAGAAGTTCCAATGAGACGGAGGGTGGGGATTGGCAAGAGCGAGGGCTGGAGAGGTAGATGGAGAAAAAGCCTCCTTCCTCCCCAGGGGAAACTGCTGGGAAGTTTTAAGCAGAGGAGTAACGAGGTCAGGGTTACGTTCGGGAAGCGACTACGGTGAAGAAGATGACGTTGTGCAAATAGATTGTGTCGACTTCCCCACTCACTTCTTCAGTAGATTTCTGAATGTTAACCTTTGTACATTTGTATCATTTATATACAGCGTGTTATCACTAGTTTGGGGTTTTTTTTTAAATGTTTTTTTTTTTCCAGGAAGTTCTAAAATTTCTTTAACCTGGGAAAGTACAATTATTCACATTGTATCTGAGGTTCTTAGTAGGTATCCTGTTACTAAAGCACATTTGTTTTATTGTCGCATTCAATTTCCCCATTTTGATGTTGCGCTTCTAGCACTGGTTTTGCTCAGTTCCTTTGCATCCTTTGTAAGCCTGGGCTGACCCTGTTGTGTCACTGGCCCTGCCGGCTGTGACACCACAGCCCCAGCTTTCTCTCTGACTGCACTGCCCTTCCTCCTCAGTGCTAGTATAAGTGAGTTATTTGATTTTCATCTGGTTTTTATTAATGTTTAACTTGGGCATATTTTAAATTTGTTACAGTACATTGCTAATTCCTCATGCTGTGATCAGGTCGTTAGAACAATATCTGTTAAATACTTCTCAAGCTTAACGCTGCTTCCAGGTCACCACAATGTTCCGATGCTGACATAACCCCAGGTACATAGCCGATGCTCTAGTCTGCGGCAAGGCTGGAGTAGTTTCTGCCTGGGACCCAGTATCTTGCTGTTCCAGGACTTGTTGCTTTTTTTTTTTTTTTTTTGAGACAGAGTCTCACTCTGTTGCCCGGGCTAGAGTGCCGTGGCGTCAGCCTAGCTCACAGCAACCTCAAACTCCTGGGCTCGAGCAATCCTACTGCCTCAGCCTCCCGAGTAGCTGGGACTATAGGCATGTGCCACCATATCCAGCCAATTTTTTTTTCTATATATTTTTAGCTGTCCAATTAATTTCTTTCTGTTTTTGGTAGAGACAGGGTCTCGCTCTTGCTCAGGCTGGTCTCAAACTCCTGAGCTCAAACGATCCACCCGCCTCAGCCTCCCAGAGTGCTAGGATTACAGGCGTGAGCCACCGCGCCCGGCCGACTTGTTGCTTTTTGATATACTTTACAATCCGGTGGCATAAATAACTCATTCATTTATTGATCAATCTGTTTATTCACAGAATATCACTTGGCATGCCAGGAACTAGACTAGATACTGAGTATGTGGAAATAAATATGCCCCAGTGCATTCCTGGACTTCACCATTGACAGCACCCTTAGTTCTGTGTGTTAAATATACACAACAAATATACCCCTTTTTAGCCCTTTTTGAGTGTACAATTTGGTGGCATCCGGTACATGTGCATTATTGTGCAACCATGACACCGTCCATCTCCAGAACTCTTCCCACCCTCCCAGACTGAAACCCTGTCCCCAGTAAGCACTCACTGTCCTCCCCCTGCCCCCAGCCCCTGGCACCCACCATCCTACTGTCTGTCTCTGTGAATCTGACTACTGCGGGTACCTGGCGTGAGTAGAATCACGCAGTGTTTGTTCCAGTCCCTGTTTTCTTTTAAATGGATTCTTTGGATTTCTTGCTTTCTCTGCCAGGTAACTTTCCACACTCGGTTTGTCTAGCCCCAGGACATATCCCAGTAGATTCTGACTGCCACTAGGGCGTCACTTTGTAATGTCTCCTTCTCTGATGCTGCTTTGCTGACTCTGTTTTAAGCTTCTGGTCCTGTCTGGCTGGTTTCCATGAGACGTGCCGGGCACAGTCACGCTTCCTTCTGCATTTCTTCTGCCATCTCCTCTGTGCCCACTTTCCTTCCTGGCCTTCTGGTCCCTCTGCCCTGTTGGGCGGTGGCCGGGTCCCCAGTCTCACGCTGTGCGTAGGCTCTGATGCTCGAGGTCTTCTCAGAAGTCCCCTCACAGCCTTGTTCCTGGTGCCTGGCCACAGCCCCCGGTGATGGCGCCCCCGTCTTCATCTCCCCCTCCCCAAGGACCATCCTCTTCAGCACCGCCCACAAGCCCTGGGCTCAGGTCATTCCCTGCAACTATGAGATGCAGCACACCCTCAAGGACCTGGTGTTGCTCAAGGCCTTCCTGCTGACGGGGACCACTGTGACCATCGTGGAGGAGAAGGTGGGTGGGTGGAGGCGGGGGCTGGATCTCCCCATGGCTGACTCATTCCCACCCTTTGCCCCCATTCCAGATCCCACCGGGCCATTCCATCCCTTCCGGCAGCTGCTGCCCGCTTAGACCCGTCTCTGCGCCTTTCCAGAACGTGGGCGGGGCCACTCCAGGAGCCCACCCGCACCTCTGCTCACCTGGGGCCGCTTTCCCCTTCCCAGATCCTCTCCTGGCCGTTAAGGCCGCCTGCTGTCGACAGCTCCTTGCCTGCCAAGCAAGGGAAAGGGGAGAAAGACCAGAAAGGGAAGAAGGAGAGAGGGAAGAAGGGGAAGGACAAGGAAGGGAAGGAGGAGAAGGAGCCTGCCAAGGTAGGTGAGGGAGGGTCTGAGGCGTTGGGGCCCCAGGGGCGTGGGCTGCCCAGCTGCAGGCCCTCGCCCATCCCGCGCACGTCCCTGGCCTCTTCCCCAGGAACAGAGGGTGCCCAAGAAGAAGAAAGAGCTTCCCAAGGAGCTCCGCCAGGACGCGCCCATCCTGCAGGTGCTGGGCAGCGGCTCGGTGGTCCTGGAGCCCCTGCTCTCGGGGGAGCCCACGGTGTCCACGGTGTGCAACTTTGGGGTGATCCGCACCTTGGAATCCGATAAGCTGACGCTTGCCAGGGTACAGCGGGCCCCGCCATGGCCCCCGCCTCTGCCTTCGCCCTCCCCACGGGAACCTCGCTGGGCCAGGGAGGGCCGTGAGGCCCGGGCTGTGGGAGGAGGAAGGCTGGCCCGGCGGGGCCTGTCCCTGGGGCGAACACGCGGGGACCGCTGCGCGGGCCACGGGCATGGTGTGGACTGGGGCGGGCGCAGTCCTCACGGGGAGACCCCTACCCCCACCATCAGCCAGAGGCCTTGGAGGGGGTGGGGCCCCAGAGACGCCCCTCCCCAGCATCTCCCCACTCTTCTAAAGATCTCATTTTGTGGTTTTTTCTCTCAGGATTTGAAGAAGCTTAAGAAAGTTGCCAAAAAAGGTAAGCACTGAAGGTGGTGACTGACAGCCCCTGCGGGGCAGCCCTGATGGGGCAAAGGAACCGAAGGGGGGACAGTCCTGTCTGCGGACTCCCTGGGGGCCACGCCCACCCTTAGGACCCATCCCTGGGTCTTCCCTGCAGCCCCAGACCACGTTGCCTGCTGTGGGTCATGACACGGGTGGGAAACGGCGCCCTGTGGGGGAGGGGCTCAGAGCCAGGCGCAGCCCAGGGTCCTCCTTCAGCAGGTGACTGGTGTCGGCTTCGGGTCATTGGCCCGACTTTGCCATGTGAGGAGCCCAGACTTGTTCTGGGGCGTGGGGAGCTGCTGAAGTGTCTGAAACAGGCACGTTTTAGATCTGAGTTTTAGAAAGAAGTGCCTGGCTTGGAGGGGAGAGAGGAGACAGAGACCAGCTGGAGGCTGTTGTAAAAGAATAAGGCAAGATCATTGCAGAATTATCCATAATTCTGAAGCCAAAAAGTGGAAACAACCCAAATGTCCATCAGCTGCTGAATGGATAAACGACGTGGCACATCCGTACCACAGAATATTACTCAGTCATAAAAAGGCACGAAAGTCTGATATGTGCCACAGTGTAGAGCAGCCTTGAGAACGTGTTGCCGAGTGACAGAAGTCAGACACAAAAGGCCACGTATATGATTCCATTTGTATGAAATGTCCAGGACACGTAAGTTCACAGAGACAGAAGGCAGGCTGGTGGTTCCAGGAGCTGGAGGAAGGAGAGTTGTGATTGCCTCACGGGGACAGGGTGTCCACTTGGGGTGATGAGAATATTCTGGAACCCAGACAATCGCACCTGCCTCCATATAGACCCCCTCCTCCCCTGTAGCTGCTGTCAGGTTGAGCCACTGCCCTGCTTAAGATTCTTCCATGACTGGGAGACAGAGGCAGGAGGAACCCTTGAGCTCAGGAGTTTGAGACCAGCCTGAGCAAGAGCGGGACCTCATCTCTATCAAAAATAGAAAAAGTTAGCCGGGTGTGGTGGTGCACACCTGTAGTCCCAGCTACTCGGGAGGCTGAGGCAGGAGGATCGCCTGAGCCCAGGAGTTTGAGGTTGCTGTGAGCTATGATGACACCTCTGCACTCTAGCCTGGGTGACAGAGCGAGACTATTCTTCCATGACTTACTTCCGGCTACTTTACAAAATCCATATTTCCATGAAGGCGCTGAGAGATCTACCTAGAATACTTGCATTGCACCTGCCACCCCGTTCGCTCAGCTACTACTTCGTCTGTCTCATCTCAGCTTCAGTGACCCTTCAGGGATGTCTTCCCTGATCCTCTGGGTTCGGGTGGGCCCCTGCATTCTTCACAGCACCCCGTGTTTTCCTCTGTGGTACTTAGCACAGTGGTAACCGAGTAGATACTCATTTGTCTAATTATTATCTTGTCCACCACACTGAGCTACAGGAGGGCAGGGGTTGTGCCTGTATTATATAAATTCGCATAATCTGCACCAGCGCAGCAGGCACGTAGTAGCCATCTGCAAACATTGAGTAATGAAAGGATCAGCTTATATACATGAGCTTTTGTGGGCAGACAAGGAAAAAGGGTTGACGCAGTCCCTGGGGACACCACCAATTTTGATCAGGAAGAGACAACAAGACCAGAAAGGATCAAACTTAACTGAATCCTAGAACAAAACTCAAGGATGTGTGTAAGAATACAAAAAGAGACTCCACCTAAGGTAAAATTCACAATGTCTATACCATCCAGTAAGAAATTGCTGGATATACAAAACAAGAAAATGCAATATGTAATTTATCAATCAAAATTGACACAGAAATGACATATATGATAGAATTAGTGGACAAGGACACTAAAACAGTAATTATCATTGCATTCTGTATATTCAAGAAGCTAGAGGAAAGATTGAACATGTTAAGTAATGACATGGAAGATAAAAGAAATCAAACTTTTAGAGACGAAAACTACAATGTCACATGACAGTTATGGTCA